CACTCTCGGAGAGAAGAGCATTTATTCTGCAGTGCAAAGTGAGAGAGGTCCTAATGAAGTCTGCATGATGACATAAGCAATCAGGGACTAGACTTAGCAGCACATATGATCTGAGGCAGTTTAAACAAGGAGTCACATAACTTTCACTGTAATAAGACAGAAGTAGAAAACTATGCTTCAAAAAGGTAGAAAAGACAAAAATGTCAAAAATTATATACAACAAAATACCATATAGTTTATATTGAAAAATCAACTGAATACAACATAGTTTAAAAAACTAAATAGAATTAGAAAGGTTATGATTAACTAGAAAGTCTTGACAAAGTAAATTAACAAAAGTAAATTAAATAGAAATTACAACAGGCTAAATGATTCCATTAAACCTGTTATTTCTGGAAGCTGGCCTCACATGCTGGGAGGCAGCTGGGATAGAGAAGGGACCACTAAGTGAATGATGCTTGGAGAACTCGCTCGGGATGGGAGATGTGTGCTGAAAGTAGACTATAGACAAAACATGATGACCACTTACTACCTGTATTGCAAACCATAACACCCAAAAGGAGAGAGAGAGAGAGAGAGAGAGAGAGAGAGAGAGAGAGAGAGAGAGAGAGAGAGAGAAAGAGAGAGTGTGTGTAAAAGGGAATGTGCCTGCCACAGAGGCGGGGGGTGGTGGTGGTGGCAGGGGGAATGGGGGTGGTGGTGGGAGAGATACTGGGAACATTGGTGGTAAAGAATGGGCACTGGTGGAAGGAGGGATACTTGATCACTGTATGACTGAAATGTAATCACAAAAGTTTGTAAGTCTGTAACTGTATCATGCCGTGATTCATTAAAAAAGGAAAAGAAATTAAAAAAAACACTCCTGTAATCTTAAAAAAGAAAGCACGGCAAAGCCTGGCAAGCTACCCGTGATGTATTTGATATGCCAAACACAGTAACAACAAGTCTCACAATGGAGATGTTACTGGGCCCGCTCGAGCAAATTGATGAACAATGGGAGGACAGTGCTACAGTGCTACATAAATGATTCTAAAGTAGATGAGAGGCACAGGAAACGCTTTCTTCAGGTATGCCTTTACAGGACTGCAAGGACAGCTCAAAGGGCTGAACACACGTTTTACATGCACAGGGTTCGATTTCCAGTAGAACAGGTACCTCTGAGCACTGCCAGGTATAGTCTGGAAGGCCCTGGAGCACTGTCAGGCATGAGCAACTGTATCATCAGGTCCAAGCATTGAACTAATCCAGTTGGCTAAGTTTTTCCAGGAGTGGCTCCCAGGATTTCTGAGCATTTCTTGGGAGTCCCTGCCTTCTTTATGCAAATGAATTTCAGAAGGTTATTCTTTTTTTAAAGAACGTTCCATGAGACACTTATTTAACATTTTAGTGAAGGATTTAGTTAGGGCAATTAGACAAGAAAAGCAATTTGAAGGCACATGGATTGCAAAGGATAAAGTGAAACTATTTTCCTTCACAAATGATATAATCTCCTATATAGATTAAGGAATTAATAACAAAACAACAAAAACATTTTGGAGCCAATAAAGACATACAGCAAGACTGTGGGATATGACCAATACACAAAACCTAAATTCTATTTCTATATGTACTAGTACTGAGTAATTTAAACATGAAATCAATGAAATAATTCTATTTATAAAAGAATCAGAATATGTTTAACAAAAATAAATTTTATATGCAAATGCATACACTAAACTATACTAAGTCATTGAAAAAATAAATAGAATGCCCATTTTATGAATTGAAAGACATAATTTTTAAGTGCATTTTTAAAATGCACCCAAATAAGATCTAATTAGACATGATCCCTGTAAGAATCCTATTTTTCCCCTCAAAAATCATTTATTTTAAAATTCACCAAGAAATACAAGTAACTCTTCAAAGAATTTAGAGAGTATTATAATAGTCTGCACAAATGATTGTTTTAAAAATTCAAATTTTGTGGCTTCATTGTAAACTTGAAAAAAAAATCACAACTCTGGGGCCAGAGTGGTAGCACAGTGATAGGGCGCTTACTTTGCTACAGCCAGTACTTACACCACAACAGAAGCATAGGGTTCATAAGTGCACCCTCCCAGATGAACTAGCACTGACACATACTTCCAGAAAACCCAAAACACTCAACCTGATCAATAGACTATCAACTATTAGTTACATGCATTTTGGAAACACCTTGCCACGTGATTGAAACTGCTGATGAGCTGTTTGTTCTACACTAGTCACAGGACCAATAATCTCTAAATTCAAGACAACCAGGAAAATTCTCCCATTTACAGATGGCTCACTTTGCTGATTTCTATGCACAGTCATCTCATCTGCAGGAGAGTATATGAACCATCCACACCTCTCTTGGGTGTAGAAAGCAATAGAAAATGTGAGTAGGTATACACAGCAGTCAGGATGAGGATCCAGAAGACCCTGGGTTCCTAATCCAAAAATATTTGCATGAAACATTACTGCTCCCCTCTAAAGGTATAGGCAGAAATATGCCACATGCACTGAGTTCTTTTATGTATCCAAAAAATGGCTATGGTTTAATAATTTCTCCCTACATCTCAAAGTTTTTTTCCAGGCCAATTTTCCACATGTTCATCATATTTAATCAGCAAATGTAAATAGGCCAAAACACATATGTGCATAGATTTAGAAAAAGTATTTTAGGGACTAGATAGTAGAAAGGTTAAAGGCCTTTATACCTGGCTGACCCAGGTTCAATCCCTGATACCATATACAATTCTCTATGTACTACTGGAGTGATAACTGAGCACAGAGGCAGAAGTAAGTCCTGAGCACGACTAGGTATGGCCCCCAAACAAACAAAAACATTGTTTTAATGGTAACTGTAACTTTTAATGTACTAAGGTTTACCAAATAATCATTACTGATAGTTAAAGGGGCATTTTATCAGTAGGCATGTTTGTAAATATGATTGCTAAATATGAATAAATTATTTATTAACCAGCTTAAAATATACTCCAACATTTAATGAATCTTTTAAATTTTCTTTTTGCTATTTTGTTTGTACATTCAAGAGGCCTACTTTAATGTGACTAACACAAACAACATAATTATCATGCAATTACTGTAATGAAACAGTAACTAGAATGAATTTTGTTCATTGTAGTCACCATGTTAATTTTAAATACTAGCAATGCTATATATACTTAAATTAGGAAATCAGGCATTTCCCCTCCTCTTTTCTGACACAAACCATTAATGGTCTATTTTAAAATAAGATTACTTCCAAAAATGTTGCATAAGCCTGTTCAGTTATTAGCACTTAAACAATCTGTGGTCTGTTTATGAACTACCCAAACAAACGTCACTGGGAGTAATCAGCTCTCTTTTCTCCCAGAATAAAGACTCTTAGTTTTAAATAAGAAAAGCAAATTAAAGATCCCATGTTGATTTACTAATGATCTATGCCGCCATTTTATTATAAACATTGTGGTTGGTACTTCAGGTCATCTCATGCAATACAGGTTCATTGGAGAGGTGGATCTGGTCTCCTTTAGTTTACAACAATACGTAAGACTTCTGTAGTTACTTAAATCTAAGTACATGGCCTTCGTGATTCATTCAGATTGCTATAGCTATAGCATCTCACTCTTGTCCCTATCCAGCAATGTACAATACTCCTGGAGAACATAATGGAGAAAGTGTAAGAACTTCAGGTTATAATTGGCCAAACCTCTACACAGTCACTCATGTTAGATTGGTCCTTTGGCTCCAGGACACCCATTCACCTCAACCCCACACCCCTGCCCTAACCCCCCCGCCGCAAAAAAAAGTCTGAGATAAAAAGTGATTCTACTGAGTCACATACCCAAGAGGTAATCATCTATCTGAATTCTCTTTCTCAGCAATTAAGAGTAAAGCACACACTGAGAATGAATTTGGATGTGTTATTGCAAAATGTGGCTTTTTTTAAACTTTTTTTTTTGGGGGGGTCACACCCAGCGATGCACAGGGGTTACTCCTGGTTCATGCAATCAGGAATTACTTCTGGCTGTGTTCAGGGGACCATATGGGATGCTGGGAATCGAACCCGGATCGGGCCGCGTGCAAGGCAAATGCCCTACCTGCTGTGCTATCACTCCAGTCCGGCAAAATGTGGCTTTGATAAGGTAGATCTTTTAATCAAGCAGACATTCTAAGAACACAAAATTAAATCCTGGACTAACTACCAGAAAATCTAATTCCTCCAAAATGTAGAGTGACTTGCAATTCTCCACGTCAGATAAATGTTAGAGAAACCTCATTTTCTCCAACCACAGAAGGAAGTCTTTTTGTGGACTTGTGCCGACAGATCGTCAGATCCGCCCCAGAGAACTAGCTTCAGACCTCGCGCCTTGTGATATAAAAGTGAAAACATGCTTGTTTTTCGGTGCTGTTGCTTGTATTATCCCCTGCCTTTACCCACCCTATTCAAAGTTCCTTCTTTGGCATTTTCTTTCACTCCAAATTTCTAGAGAGGTCTACTCAAGAGTTCAGTTTCCTTTTTTTTGTAATTTTTTGTGGAAGTTGAACATGCACTAGTGGATGAGAGACTGAACAAAATTGACTCCTTCCTCTTATCTTGCTTTTTAAAGTTCTGGTTCAGTATGTAATATTTCTTATATAGTTGGCTAAATATATTTAGACCCTTCATTTTGACTAAAATTTCTTCATTCCTCAACTGGGGAAGATATCTAGTAATCTGTACTGAAAGAATTAAAGGAAAATTTAAGTTTGATTCAGCCAGTCATAAAGAACTTGAAAATGAGATAAACCAGACTCTCAGTACTAGTGACTACAAACTAATAATATTTAATTCTCCACCCAAATATTAGTCACATTACAAGTCAAACAAACAAGAAAATAAACCAAATGAAAATGGCGATTACAGGAGTAGAAGAAAGGACTACATGATAGATTACAGGAGTAGAAGAAAGGACTACAAAACTACTGGGAAATGCTACTAAACAAGGACATTTTACCTGTCGTTGTCTTGTGAAAATTGCCTTTGTAAATCCTCTTTATTCCACTGTTCTTTCTCTTTCCCCTGCTCAGGTATCTCCTGCGTTTTTTCCTCGTCTCCTGATTCTCTGTGTTTCTCCTTATTACATGTTTGTGCGATTCCTTTCCCTTGCCCATTCTCATTAATTCTTTCTTCCTTGACCTCGTTCTCCTCATGAACTATCTCTTCGTCCTTAGCCCCTTCTGTCCCTCCCTCTTCTATTCCCTTTGGCCTTTGGAAGGCAACACAAAATCCAAGGCATGCAAATAAACACAAAAAGGAAAAACAAGGTCAGGAAAAATGCATATGATATTAAACAGAAAGACAATGAAATCTAAACATAAATAAAGATCACTTTTCTAGTGTATACCAGAGAGCACTGGATAAGCAATATTTAATAAGACTGATTTAAAATCATATACCCTAGTTATAATGCTGCATGGAAAATAGTTATGGTCTCTTTGTTATTGACCTAATAGGAATAAAATTATTGGGTGCAGGTGCCCATAAAACCAACAGGTCAGGCAAAAAGTACAATTCATACTAACATTATTACACATAATTTTTTGAAAAATAAAATTTTTTCCAGATCTTTATTAAAATGTTAGGAGGCTAGCATGCCTTCCTATTAAAAAGAGTAAATTCTTAAATATTCTGAATCACTGAACTATGTTCAGCTAGGAAAAATAATTTTCAAAAATGATTTTTATATTCCTAGCACACTCAAAAACTCAACTCTTCACTTGATCTTCCCCTCAATTGCAGTAAAGATACAATAATAATAATAGTATTAAGTGGAAATCACAAAAAATTGGTATTGTAGAAAGAAAATTGCTATTAGATCTAAAAGACGTTTCTAGCAAGAAGTTTGAAATGTAGACCAAAACATAATCAGTATTAACATGAACAGAAGTTCTCATTGCCGTAATGACAAAGATTAACTTTTGAAAAGTCAAGAGGCTTAAGTTTATGCAAAGAAAAATTAAGACATTCTAAAAGACAGATAGAGGGTTTTCCTGGTACAATCACCTTACTCACCTGATTTTCTTGTTTCCTCTGGGCCGTTCTGATTGGACAGACATGTAGCTTGTGCTGCTGAAACGAGAAGCACTACTAGTCCTTGAAACCGCAGATATGTCACTTACATCACTGTCCGAGGATTTAGTGGAAATATTATCTGCCCCTCTATGAGGATCCCATCCTGATCGATACTGTTAACACAGATTGACAAATATGCAGAGGTTGTCAGTATTCCCACACAAAGCAATGATTAGCTTCTCCTATTTCAGCACTTTAATTGTCCACTGAGGATACTGCAAAACCCCACTCAGTTGCATATAAAACAAAAGTGAATGGCAATTATCCTAAAAGAAAAATTCAATTTATATGAAACCCTGGGTTTTAGCAAAGGCAATTAGAGCATTTCACCACACCCCAAAGAAGGCCATTAAAATAGTTTCACAATGGCATTGGCCTCAGGAGAGAACATTTAGGTAAAATCTGGGAAATAAACATTTGGCTTAATATTAAGAAATAAGATTTGTTTTTTCTAAATTTCAGAATAAATTTTGAAAAAAAAAGTATGCTAGAATTTCCCAATGTAATGTATAAGAACCGATTCTAGTAGCCAGCAATTTTCTCTTTAATCCATTAGGCTTCACTGAAAACCTAGAGATAATACAAAATCTAATGATTAAAATGCTAACTTTTCCAGAAAAAGTCAAGAGAAAAGTGAAAGTTTAATTTCTGAATGGTTGCTGGAATTTTGTTGCATCCTAGAAATACTAGAAAAAATAATTATTATTTTCAATAGCTCAAACTTCCTGGAATCAAAATAATCCGAGAGTTATCTGGCAGTCAGTTCAGAGTGCTCTGGGGATTCACATACTCTGGCGAACTGAAAATCATCGTGCATGCTTTACGTCAATGACATTTAGGATGTGCAGGAGAAGATTTTGGAATCTGGAAACCTGGAAATCTCTTACTAGTTTTGGTAACCTTAAGCAATCAGTCAACCGTTAAAAGCTGATTTTGAAAATAATAGGAACAATAATAGCTTCCTTGTAGAGTGGTTTTGAAAATAAGAAATAATATATGGTATCTGGCATATTATAAGAATGAACACAGCCAGTATTTTCACTCTATCATTACTACTTATGTTTCTTAATGAGTTAAAAGATCTGTGCAAAAGGATTTTCATTTCTATGTACTCCAAATATTACATTGAGTTTCATGCAGACATTACATATAAACATTTTGGTTAAATATATTGATGGACAATAGGTTGTGGAATAAATACTAGATCAGATTCAAATGATTTGTGTTTTCCTTTAGGCCTTTCTTAGCCCACATTTATTTTTCATTTTACTGCACAAACTCTCAATTATTAAATAATGCAGTTAAATTATTCCCCCAAATCACTCCCCTTCCTTAGGAACATCTATGTAAATAGAACCTTCATATTTGATTTTTGAAACTCTGTATCTGTTGACTACACTGGTAATTCATTAGGTAAATCTCACATTTTCCATAGTCTGTAGTTGGCATATTATAAAAATATACTAAAGTACATAAAATAGCCTACTTATATGTTTTACTTTATGTACTTTTATTGAAAAGTAAATTTTAAATGTAAAGTTGAGAAATAAATCTTTGACTTCTATTTTATTTATAGTCTTGATATTTTACTTGTATTAAAAATAAATAGCTCAAGAAATTCTCAAAACAAATTGTTCATTAAATAGTGCCTTGTATGTGGGACACTTTATATTTTTCGTTCTTACAATTGTCATAAAAATAAAAGCAGTCTATTCTTTCTTTTAAAATAATTTATCACTGGATAGAAAAGTAGTTTTGACTCTATATATTCTGGGTGAGCTCTTCCTCATTGGCTTATAATATCCAAATTCATATGTAAATCAGAAAGAAAGAAGGGCAATATTGCAGTAACTAGGAACAGATACTCTGAAATGAAATACAATTTTTGGTCTGAACTTGAGAACTTGAATAACCAATATTGTGATATTGGCAGATTACTTTTCGGAGTCCCACTGTTCTATCCACAACAAAGAGGAAAACAATTGTACCCAACTCCAAGTTCGCTGCAAGAATTACAATCAAGCACTGAGCACAACTCCAGACACTTAACAAGTGTTTAATAAATAAATGACAAGTGATGGTGATGATGATGGTGATGGTTAGAGAGCTGACTATTGATTTACTATCCATTTCATCAGCATCTTTACTGGAAGGATAATTAGGCAGAGATCCAAAAGTAAGTTATTGTTTTTAAATGGCTCTACACTACAACAGCAACAACAATAAGTAACTATTTCTACATGTGTCTAATACAATGGTTTCAGAAAATTAATTCATAAAGCCAACTGAAATGTCATAGCTAACGTTTCCACTGTGTTAGTTAGGTCCTCAGGGATCCCCCTACTCAGCTCATACCCCCTTCTAGGGAGAACTGAGCCTCAGCTCAGGATGCACACTCACTTTGCCTCAGAAGGAAGCACATGCCACTTGCAGCTGACACAGCAACGACTTATTTTTAAGTATCTGTCTCTGGTACTTTACCCTGCTATTGAAAGCCGCCTGGAACAGGGGGCTCCGTGTCTCCCTATCTGGCTCTTATCTGATTTGCTTTACTGTCATCTCTGAATCCTAATGGCCTCACTGACTTTGGAATTTCAGCATTTAAAATAGTGACTTGACAGACTCTAGTTTCGTCGTTTTAGGTTATCACTTCTGATCCTGCTTTTATGATAATCTTGCTTGTTGTGCTAAAATTCTGGATACACAATTTTTAAGGAAAGATACGGTTCAGCATACCATGATTTTATGACTTTTATGTAAGTCACCACATGCTTCTCTTGGAAGAGGGCTCTGTGTGTATATGTGTGTTTGAGTTTAATTTTCAAACTCTGTTTTATAATGTGTTTTCTTAATGACCACATCAGTATTTTCCTTTCATTTAAAATTTTCAGTCTAGCTTTTCTAGTGACACAAGGAAAAATTCATTTTAAGAACTTTTAAAAAAGAATTTTAAAATAAATTTAAGAATTCATAAGTGAGAACTAAAAGTAATATATTCAAAATACCCAATCATATTTCGGAGAGCCCGGCAAGCTACCAAGAGTATCTCGCCCGCACGGCAGAGCCTGGCAAGCTCCCCGTGACGGATTCGATATGCCAAACACAGTAACAACAAAGTCTCCAATGGAGACGTTACTGGGCCCGCTCGAGCAAATCGATGCTTATTATCATACTGTAAATACTTATTTCCAGTCTATAAAACAGAAGTTATAAAATGAAAACACACTGAATGCGACAGTTCATATAAAGAAAGAATATGAATGAGTCAAAACTCTTTTTGATGGATTCTGCAGTCTGTACCAGATATATCTCTTTGTCTACTTCTAACCAACTGGGCATGTTTACCTTTGGGATATAGCTCATTTTCTGTTAAAAAGAGATCCATGATAAGAAAGAGAAGTTTGGAGAATGAGAATATAAAAATATTTTTGTAAATATCACTTTACAAGGCATATTTTGAATATATTAAGGTTAATTTATCTTCCTATAGACAACTCATAGAAAACCTAGCAAGTGACCCAATACTGGAGCTTATTTCTAAAAATGTTTTTTTCCCCATTTTTCTAAATGTGCTTTTCCTTTTCCTAAAATGTGATAAACCAAAAATATAGTTTAGCAGTGAGTTAAAAGCTGCTAAACTGTTATTATACCATAATGAGTTATGGATGTGAAGAGTGGGCTAAGTCAGTTCACATATTAGGAAATGGTTAGTGCTATCTTGGCACTAGCCAATAAATGATGTTTTGAACAATTAGCATGTATTAGTTGACAGCTGACAGCTGAACAATGAAGATAGGCTCCTCATCCCCTTTAATGGGTCAAAAAAAAAAAAACGTTTAGTGCACAGGATAACATGATCTCAGCTAAAAATGCTGCTCTGATTGGAGATCATTAAAACCTTGGAAGAGAGTGAGGAAGCTTTTCCCGACAACATTTTGATGTTTTGTACATTACTATTAAGCAGATCATGAACTAGAAAAATATACAGGAAATTATCATTCCTCAGGATGTTCCAGACTCTAAAGAGTTCCTAAGTGGCCTAGAAAGTTAATGTTCTCCCCATTTACCCATCAATGTAAAGTGCCACTGAAAGGCAAGCATCTGTTAAAATTTTTGAATAATGTTCGTGAGAAATAAAGGATCTCTAAAAATATAAATTCAATTTTCTTCAAATTCAAGTTTACTATTTGGAAGTTTTGGGATTGGATTTCTCTACAGAAACTCAGTTATTTGAGCTGTGTCCATATGACTTGGACCAAACATGGTGGGATTGTGGGTCCTCTTACGCATCTTCATTAATCTTCATTAATTCAACTTCATTAATCTCCCCCTGTCCCCAAACCGCAATCTGATATCTTATGCTCGAGTCCAACAATTAGTTAGTGCAACATACTGGGCAGAATGTTTGAAGAAAAACAAATTTTATGCCATGGAGGAAGTCATGGAAAAAACGCTATACCATATCCACCAAGTCGAAAGTACAGAGCACAAGATGGATCCAAATCAGGGTAAAAAAATTTGGGAGAAGAAAGAGAGGCAAAGTTCTGGGCAGGATTCGAGGTCACTCTGTAGGTGGAGAGGAAATAAGAAAGCAGATAGAAGCCCTGGCAAAGCAGCCTATTAAACTAACCTGTGGCCAAGAAGTTCTTTCATTTTTGCCTTTTGATTTTTATTTCAGGTCCTCACTCAGAGAGCAGAACAGCTGCCCTGCAGTAGGAGCAGTTACAAGGTCTCTCTGTGGAGACCCCCTATGTCCTAGACAAGGGTCCTCGATCCTTCACCCATTCTAATCTATCTTCTAGCAAACTTCTCAAAAATAAATGAGGTACCCTGCTTTCCTACTTTGGGGTGTCTTTTTTTTTCGGTTTCTTCTCCCTTGATTTTGCTATTACAATAGAACACTGGTTGTCTTTCTCCCTGAAAACATTTCCATAAGGACCCCTCAGACAAGTCAATTCACAGTATTCTGGGCCCCCACCTCTCTCCCAAGATCCAGACTCCTGTTTCAAGATAACTGGTTCCCTTCCATTCTGTTTCACAGAAGCAGCATGTTCTTTGCGGCTCAATGCACACTTATTCTCTCAATTCAAACCAGTCATTCTTGTATCTTCCA